CCCCCCAGGGTGCCTGACGCGGACGTCGTAGAGAGCACCTTCCCATGCACTCATGTAGCCCCGCCCACTGTGTTTGTTTGCCATAAGCTCCCATGCATAACGGGCTCTCTCTAACACCCCTACAGTTGTTTGATTGTTGCGGTTGTTGTTGCGGTTGTTTTGTTGTGGTTGTTATCCGCTTGGCGGGGCGGGGGGTGTGTGTGCTCACCGCAGGCTCTGCTTCTGTGCGGAGTCCGGGTCCCGTGCCACCAGCGTGGTGACGACGCTGCCCAGAGCGACGCCCTCGGACAGCCGCACCTGCTGCAGCCGCGGCTCAAACAGCGGAGCCTCGTTCTCATCCTCAACACTCACCTGGCGCCGCGGAGAGACACGGGAGAGACACGTGGGGAGAGACACGGGGAGAGACACGTGGGAGAGACACGGGGAGAGACACACGTGAGAGACACACGGTGAGAGACACGTGGGGAGAGACACGGGGAGAGACACGCGGGGAGAGACACGGGGAGAGACACGGGGAGAGACACGTGGGGAGAGACACGGGAGAGACACGTGGGAGAGACACGGGGAGAGATGCGGGGAGAGACGCGGGGGTGGCGGCTTTTCCGCGGGAATCTTTGTTCGTGGCGGGAGAATCCGAGCAGCTGTGAAGCTTTTGGGGGGCCGTGGGGGGGGGGGGTGGGGGGGGGCCGTGGGGGGGCCGTGGGGGCCATGGGGGCCGTGGGGGGGGGGGCCGTGGGGGGGGGGGCCGTGGGGGGGGGTGCGTGGGGGTGACTCACCGTGACGGTGGCGGTACTCTGGGGAGGGTCCACGCGGATTTCACGAGCGGCTCCTCGTTGTCCACGACGACGATGAGTTTGTACGACGACGCCATCTCAAAGTCTAAGGCTGCGGCGTACACACACTACACACACGTACACACGTACACACACTTATACCACGTACACACGTACACACACGTACACACACACGTACACACACGTACACACATACACACACCACACACGTACACACACACACACACGTACACACACCACACGTACACACACCAACACAGACACACACAGACACACACAGACACACACACGTACACACACACGCACACACACCACACACGTACACACACACACGTACACACGTACACGCACACACACACACGCACACACACGCACACACACTACACACACACACACGCACACACGTACATACACACGTATACACACGTACACACACACACACGTACACACAGGTACACACGTACACACACGTACACGTACACACGTACACACACACACTACACACACACGTCACACACGTACACACACGTACACACAAACACACGTACACACACGTACACACACACACACGTACACACACACACACACTACACACAGACACCACACACGTATACACACGTACACACACACGTACAACACGTACACACACGTGCACACGTACACACACACGTACACAGACACACACGTACACACACGTACACGTACACACACCGTACACACACACACACACGTATCACACACGTACACACACACGTACACAGACACGTACACACACCACACGCACACACCGTACACACACGTACACGTACACACACACTACAGACACACACGTACCAACACACAACACACACACGTACACACACACGTACACACACACACGTACACACACGCACACACACACACGTACACACGTACATACACACGTACACACACACACACACACGCACACACACGTACACGCACACACGTACACACACACACACGTACACACACACACACGTAAACACGTACACACACACGTACACACATACACGCGTACACACAAACACGTACACACACGCGCACACACGCGCCACACACACGGACACACACACGGACACACGAACATACAAAAGACAAAGATCCCCCTATAGCTTTAGCAGACTGTAGGGCAAGGCCGGCGCTGTGGCACACGAGGGGTGGGAAGCCAGCAGCACGCCTTTGTCTCCCCAGTGCTGGCGACGTTCGACCCCGTGCCTCCCCCTCCCACCCCCCACCCCCCAATGGACTTCCCTGGGTGAAAAAATAATCCTCCTCCCTCTCTCCCCCCTCCCCTCCCTCCCCTTGTCCTCACTCCAACCACCCCTCCTCCACCCCCCCCCTCCCTCCCTCTCCTCCTCTCCTTTCACCCCCTCCCTCCCCTCCTCATCCCCTCCCTCCCCTCCCTCCCCTCCCTCCTCCCCCTCCCCTAACCTCCCTTTCCTCACTCAAACCCCTCCTTCCACCCCCCATGCCCCCTCCCTCCCCCTCCCTCCCTCCCCTCCCCCCTCCCCCCCTCCTCCCCTCCCCCCCTCCCCCCTCCCTCCTCCCCTCTCCCCCTCCTCCCCTCCACTCCCCCCACATCCCTACCTCCCTTTCCTCACTTCCAACCCCTCCTTCCACCCCCCCTCCCTCCCCTCCCCCCTCCCCCTCCCCCCCTCCCTCCCTCCCCTCATCCTCCCTCCTCCCTCCCTCCCCCCCTCCCCTCCCTCCCCTCCCTCCCCTCCCTCCCAAGCGTTACCTTGACAACGACGATCCTGCCATCGTTGGTAGCGGGGTCGGTCTCCACGGCGAACAGGTCCTGGGGGTCTCCCGCCCCCCACGCCGCCCCCCCCGCCCCCCCCCCGCGGAGTGAGTAGCGGACTCGCCACGCCGCCGTGCCGACCTCGTCCGCGTCGATCACCGAGAGAAGCGCCATCGTCACCGGCACCCCCACGGCGTTCTCACGCACCGTGCCCGTCCACTGGGGCGGTGGCGGCGGTGGTGACGAGGGAGGGGGGCGGGGGGCGGGACATCGTTGTTGTTGTTGTATACAGACTATGTGCAGTGTTGAGTCTATGGGCAGTGTTGAGTCTATGGGGCAGTGTTGAGTCTATGGTGCAGTGTTGAGTCTATGGTGCAGTGTTGATTCTATGGGGCAGTGTTGAGTCTATGGTGCAGTGTTGAGTCTATGGTGCAGTGTTGAGTCTATGGGGCAGTGTTGAGTCTATGGTGCAGTGTTGAATCTATGGTGCAGTGCTGAGTCTATGGGGCAGTGTTGAGTCTATGGGGCAGTGTTGAGTCTATGGTGCAGTGTTGAGTCTATGGTGCAGTGTTGAGTCTATGGTGCAGTGTTGAGTCTATGGTGCAGTGTTGAGTCTATGGTGCAGTGTTGAGTCTATGGTGCAGTGTTGAGTCTATGGTGCAGTGCTGAGTCTATGCGGCAGTGTTGAGTCTATGGGGCAGTGTTGAGTCTATGGGGCAGTGTTGAGTCTATGGTGCAGTGTTGAGTCTATGGTGCAGTGTTGAGGTTGGGTGGCGGTGTGCGTGTGGGTGGTGTGTGGTGGTGGTGGTGGCGGCGTGCCGTACGGTTCTGCTCGTGAACTCGGGGGCGTGGTCATTGATGTCGGTGATGGTGATGATGGCGGTGGCCGTGGTTGAGAGACTGATTCTGGCGTCTCCCTCCATGTCCGAAGCCATCACCACCAGCGAGAAGCGCGCCACTCTCTACACACAGCGGCACACACACACACAGACACACGCACAGACACACACACAGACACACACAGACACACACACAGACACACGCACAGACACACAACACACACATAGACATACAACACACAGAGACACACACAGACACACATAGACACCAATAGAGACATCAACACAGACACACATAGACACACAGACACACACACAGACACACACACATCAACACAGACACACACACACACAGACACACACACAGACACACATAGACACCAATAGAGACATCAACACAGACACACATAGACACACAGACACACACACAGACACACACACAGACACACACACACAGACACACACACACAGACACACAGAGAGACACACACACAGACACAAACACACACATCAACACAGACACACACACAGACACACACACAGACACACACACAGACACACACACACACAGACACACCAACACAGACACACACATCAACACAGACACACATAGACACACAGACACACACACACAGACACACCAACACAGACACTCACACACACAGACACACCAACACAGACACACAGACACAGACACACACAGACACAGACACACACAGACACAGACACACACAGACACACACACACACAGACACAGACACACACACAGACACACAGACACACACACAGACACACACACAGACACTCACACACACACAAACACACACTCACACACTCACTCACACACTCACACAAACACTCACACACTCACTCACACACTCACACAAACACACAGACACTCATTCACACACTCACACAGACACTCACTCACACTGACACTCACTCACAGAGACATTCACACACTCACACACACAGACACACACTCACACAGACACACACACACACACAGACACACACACAGACACACACACGTGACACCCACCTCTCGGTCCAGCCCGACCACAGTGCGGGTGGTGATGATGCCCGTGCGACGGTCGATGTGGAACAGGCTGTGCTGTGCGGTCCCCATGGGGGGGGACTGCCCCACGATGTCGTAGCGGAGAGCTCCGTGGGGCGTCAAGGGGTCGTCCAGGTCACTCGCCTCCACCCTCATCACGAAGGTGCCTGACACGGCCACAGGGGGAGGTGGGAGAGGGAGGGGATGGAGTGAGTGAGTGTGTGTGTGATTGAGTGTGTGAGTGTGTGTATAAGGGAGTGAGTGAGTGTGTGTGTGATGGGGCAGTAGTGGAGAGAGTGGAGAGTTTCCCATACCTGGGCAGTGTGCTTATGACCGGCTCCAGTTTAACAGCAGAGGTCTCACTCCGAATCAGTCGAGCGGCAATATCTTTTCATCGGTTGCGTAACGCTGTGTGGAAGCTACCTTGTCTGTCGCTCCGCACGAAGCTTCGGGTCTTCTCGGCCACGGTCATTCCCTCCCTTCTCTACGTTTGCGAAACGTGGACACCCCCTAATGGAGAATCTTCGTCGGTTGGAAACATTTAGGCTGGCCTGCCTACGATCCATCCTGGGATTAACCAGGTTGGATTGTGTGAGGAGCTCACAAATCCTTGAAAGATCTGGGCAAAGTCCCATCGGTGAGCTCCTCCGGCAGGCAAGGCTGCGTTGGCTGGGTCATGTAGCCCGCATGCCCAGCCACCGCATGCCTAAACAGCTTTTGTTCGGCCGGATCGAGGGGGCTAAACGGGCGCGGCACGGGCTAGAGAAGAGATGGAGTGATGTGGTACAGGAGGACGTGGAGCTGAGTGGACTTGCCGATGACTGGTACCAACGGTATCAAGATCGGCCTCTGTGGAGGAGGCTCGTGAAGGACGCTACTGGGCAGTTGGAGGCAGTCGCCCTCCAACAACGGAGGGCGGAGGAGCGACGCTCACAACAATGAGCGGAGCACCGGGTGGCTAAAGCACAGCAAGTTGGCACAGTAGGGGGCACAGGTGGTGCATGAGCCAGTCATCTCGGTCATCTCAGTCAGTCGACCCGTGGCACCTGGGTCTGCCCCGTGACCTCCTGCCAGCGGGCGTTCGACACTTCACATGGCCTCAAGGTGCACATGACCTGGCACAAGCGTCGTGGTGACGTCACCGCCACTTAGTGGCGAATGGCGGTTGTTGTTGAGTGAGTGTATGAGTGAGTGTGTGAGCGAGTGAGTGTATGAGTGTGTGAGTGCGTGAGTGTGTGAGTGAGTGAGTGTGTGAGTGAGTGTGTATGAGTGAGTGTGTGAGTGAGTGTGTGAGTGAGTGTATAAGGGAGTGAGTGAGTGTGTGAGTGTGTGTGTATGAGTGAGTGTGTGAGTGTGTGAGTGAGTGTATAAGGGAGTGAGTGTATGAATGTGTGAGTGTGTGAGTGTGTGAGTGTATAAGGGAGTGAGTGTATGAATGTGTGAGTGTGTGAGTGTATAAGGGAGTGAGTGTATGAGTGTGTGAGTATGTGAGTGAGTGTGTAAGTGTATGAGTGAGTGAATGAGTGTATGAGTGAGTGAGTGAATGAGTGAGTGAATGAGTGTATGAGTGTGTGAGTGAATGAGTGTGTAAGTGACATTCTTCCACTCCGGTGGTGAGTGTACACCCAGCACCTCATTCAAACCCTTAATGGCCTGGTCTTAGCTAGCTGATAAAAGTTGCAAGCGAGAATTTTATCATCGCTTGCGGCTGGGGTTGGCATCATCCCTGACTCCTCCTGATATCGAGGGGAAATGGGCGAAGTTTAGGACTGTGGCTCATGCAGCTGCAATGGCTGCTTTAGGTACACGTTCCAGACCTCCCGAGAGACCCTGGCTGACAGAGGAGGTGTTCAAGCTGGCTGAGAAAAAGGCGACAGGCCCGCTCTCATCGGCTACAGCATCCCACGTCGGAGAATGAGGAGGCTTACCGCAGCCTTCACTCGGAGGTTCGGAGAGCCGTGAGGTGCTGCAAGGATGGGTGGTGGTCGCGGGTTGCTGAGGAGATGGAGTCTGCCTCAATGGCCCGTGATCACAAATCGCTCGTTAATTCCATCAAAAAAGTAATCTGCAGCGCCACACCTATTACCATCATTAAGAGAAAGAATGGTGATCCAATCTCCGTCCCCCAGGAACAGGTTGGCAGATTTGTTGAGCATTTCTGAGGTCCTGGGGGAGGGCAAATCCCTCAGCCTAGAAAAAACGTGGGACAAAGTGGGGATGACCCTGCTGAGGCTGCGGTGCCTCAAATATTGGAAGAAGTCACCCCCCCTTTGAGTGGCTAGCTGAGTTGAGATCTGTTGAGGAAGTACTGAAGGCGATCCGGAGTCTGAGACCAGGAAAGGCACCTGGCAGAGATGATCTCCCAAGTGAAATATTGAGGGAGGGTGGCCTTTGTGCACAGACTGCCCTACATGACATCATAACAACAGTCTGGACCACTGGACGGGTTCCGCAGGATTGGAAGGATGCCCTGGTGGTCCCCCTCTTTAAGAAGGGGGACCGCACAGACTGTAACAACTACAGGGGCATCTCACTCCTCAGTGTACCGTGAAAGGTCCTGGCAAGGATTATTCAACATCGCCTTGCTAGGCACACTGAGGAGAGGCGTGCGGAGCCCCAATGCGGTTTCAGGAAAGGGTGGTCCTGCACAGATGCCATATTTTCTGTCCTGCCTGCTACAGCAGAGTTGTGGAGTTCCAACAAGACCTACATCTCTGCTTTATTGACCTGGTCAAGGCTTATGATACCATCAGTAGGCCTGGGCTCTGGGTTGTTCTTCGTGCTTTCGGAGTGCCTGACCCTCTGTTCACAATCATTAAGGACCTTCATGATGGTGAGCGGGCCCGGGTAAAACTACGTGGCCGGGAGTCGGAGCCATTCCCTCTATCATCATCCTCGCCATCGTCGTCATCGTCATCATCGTCATCACCATCATCATCATCGCCATCATCATCATCGCCATTATCATCGTCATCATCATCACCATCGTCATCATGATCATCATCGTCATCGTCATCATCATCGTCATCATCATCATCATCATCGTCATCATCATCATCATCGTCATCATCGTCATCATCATCATCATCGTCGTCATCATCATCATCGTCATCATCGTCATCATCATCACCATCGTCACCGTCATCATCACCATCATCATCACCATCATCACCATCGTCACCATCATCACCATCGTCACCATCATCATCGTCACCATCATCATCGTCACCTCGTGGCGATCCTTCCGTGAGGCTGCCGTGGAAGACGTCTCTGGTGAACTTGGGGCGGTTGTCGTTGACGTCGATGACGTCAATGACGATGTCAACGGGATCCTCCACAAAACCTCCAGTCGGGTCGACGGCGAAGCAGCGCAGCTGCAGTCACAACAACAACAGCAGCAGCAGAGTGCAGCTGTGTAGAGTGTAGTGTATAGTGTAGTGTATAGTAGTGTAGTGTATAGTAGTGTAGTGTATAGTAGTGTAGTGTATAGTAGTGTAGTGTATAGTAGTGTAGTGTATAGTGTAGTGTATAGTAGTGTAGTGTATAGTAGTGTAGTGTATAGTGTAGTGTATAGTGTAGTGTATAGTGTAGTATATAGTGTGTAGTATATAGTGTATAGTGTAGTGTATAGTGTAGTATATATTGTGTAGTATATAGTGTATAGTGTCGTGTAGTGTAGTGTATAGTGTAGTGTATAGTGTAGTGTATAGTGTAGTATATATTGTGTAGTATATAGTGTATAGTCGTGTAGTGTGCTCCGTACGCGATACTGAGCGATCACCTCGCGGTCCAGGCTCGCGGTGACTGACACTCTCCCCGTGGCGGCGTCGACGACGAACAGCCCCGTGGGTTGTCGGTCAGCGCCCTCCCCCGCCAAGGCGTAGCGCACGTCCACGCCCACAGCGTTGGACTTCACCTGCCGTGGGGGGCATTGGCGGAGTGGGGGGCCGTGACGGAGTGGGGGGCGGTTGGCGGAGTGGGGGGCTCCTACGCCGGACTAGTCTCGGCACTCTCACGCCCGGCTCACCCTCGGTCATCCGCGTTGTGTGAGTGAGTGTGTGTGTGTGTGAGTGAGTGTGTGAGTGAGTGTGTGTGTGAGTGTGTGTGTGAGTGAGTGTGTGATTGTGTGTGTGAGTGTGTGTGAGTGTGTGAGTGTGTGTGAGTGTGTGAGTGTGTGTGAGTGTGTGAGTGAGTGTGTGTGTGAGTGTGTGAGTGAGTGTGTGAGTGTATGAGTGAGTGAGTGTATGAGTGAGTGTGTGTATGAGTGAGTGAGTGTATGAGTGAGTGTGTGTATGAGTGTGTGAGTGAGTGTGTGAGTGTGTGAGTGTATGAGTGAGTGAGTGTATGAGTGTGTGTATGAGTGAGTGAGTGTGTGTGTGAGTGAGTGTGAGTGAGTGTGTGAGTGAATGAGTGAGTGTGTGACATCACGGCCGTCCGCGTCCCGTGTGTTTGTTGAACTATCCCTGGACTCTGCACCGCCGCTGGGCGTGTTTGTGTCACCCCCCCGTGGCTGATAGAAAAGAGCTTCCCGGCTCTACGGATTCCTCCCCCTCCTCCACCTCCTCCTCTTCCTCGTCTGTCTGATCCAGCTCCACCACCTCCACCTTCTACACGGGGCCTAACCCTAGGCAGGGGCTAGTTTAGGCCTAATTTAGGGTTAGTTTAGGGCTGGTTTACGCCTAGTTTAGGCCTAATTTAGGCCTAGTTTAAGGCTAGTTTAGGGTTAGTTTAGGCCTAGTTTAGGGTTAGGTTAGGCCTAGTTTAGGGTTATTTTAGGGTTAGTTTAGGCCTAGTTTAGGGCTAGTTTAGGCCTAGTTTAGGGTTAGTTTAGGGTTAGTTTAGGCCTAGTTTAGGGTTAGTTTAGGCCTAGTTTAGGGCTAGTTTAGGCCTAGTTTAGGGTTAGTTTAGGGCTAGTTTAGGCATAGTTTAGGCCTAGTTTAGGGTTAGTTTAGGGTTAGTTTAGGCCTAGTTTAGGCCTAGTTTAGGGTTAGTTCTGGCCTAGTTTAGGGCTAGTTTAGGCCTAGTTTAGGGTTAGTTTAGGGCTAGTTTAGGCCTAGTTTAGGCCTAGTTTAGGGTTAGTTTAGGGCAAGTCTAGGTCTAGTCTAGGGCTAGTTTAGGGTTAGTTTAGGCCTAGTTTAAGGCTAGTCTAGGGCTAGTCTAGGATGAGGCTAGACGACAGCGAGAATGGGAGCGCTCTGCGCACAGCGCCGCACCTGCAGCAGCAGCTTGGGGAAGGGGCCACGCTGGTTCTCGGGCACGGACACGGGGGGGTTGACCCACGTCCGTCTCCAGCGGCGCTGACGCGCACCACCACGCCCTGCCTGCCGGAACCTCACCACCACCTCCACCACCTTCTCCACCTCCTCCACCTCCGCGCGTCTCTCCCCACGCTCTCTCTGTGCGGGGTGCGGTGAAGGTGACATCGAAACGTCATCGTGAGCGAGGCCACCTCACGTGTGTGTGTACGTGTGTGTGTGTGTACGTGTGTGTGTGTACGTGTGTGTGTACGTGTGTGTGCGTGTGTGTGCGTGTACATGTGTGTGTGTAC